GACATTATCTTCAGGTTCTCCACTTCTACGAAAACTTTACTTGAGAGGACCTCTAGAGGAGACACCGCATTGGATGGCTTCTCTTCATAGTCTGGTCAAGGTAACTCTACAGATGACTGCAAAAATAAAAATGACCACTAGTTGCAATGCCTACAAGATTTGCCAAATCTCCAATATATTGCATTTGCATTTGATGCATATGTTGGGGAGGAATTACGTTTCAAGGCCGGAAGGTTTAAGAGTCTCAAAATTTTAGGCCTTCTCAGCTTAATAGCACTGAGATGGGTGAGATTGGAGCAGGGCACCATGCCTCATCTTGAACTGCTAACAGTTCGGGGATGTGATTTGATGGGGTATCCATCTGAAATCCAATATTTAACTAACCTTCAATGTTGTGTGGATAGATTAAAGCCTCAGAACTTGTCGGATAGAAATAGATATAAAGATGTAGCATAGGATGACAAAAAACTTACACACATCCCCGAGAGGGATATCCAAAGTTGCCACAGTACATAATCCAAGGAGATCGGGTTCCGAACACAAACACCCTTCATGCTGTGACCGAAGGAAGAGTTGGAAAGATTCTCGGAACAATATATGTTGTCTATTTTAATGGACTTCTTGTGTGAAAACTAGAGGAGAATCCTACGTAAGGAACATCTATAATATAAAATAGGGCATACTTCAATAAATTCATCTCATAGTTTCAAATAAATTCATTTAACAGTCACTAACATCTCTTTTAAATTTTTACCGGGCAGAGATTACCCCTACTTCTATTATATTGTACTTCTTTGCGAATTTAGTACCAACAGGTTGGTCCAACATAGACTTAAATGTTTTTATTTGTGCGCGCCTTTATGTATTTGTGTGCACCTTTGTGTTAGGAATTTGAAAATTACATTTCAGTTATGATTTAAATTAAGGGTGTAACTTGGGCGGCGGGATGAAGAATCAATCATAATCAACCCTAAGTATAAAATCTTCAACTCTAATTTTAACCCTAATTCGACCTCAACCTGAGTATTGCTTGAGTTGATTTATGACAATTTAGAATTGAAATTGCGTTATCTAGTGATGGGCTAGACCGAAGAGCCCAACTCATATTATAAGCTCGGCTTAAATTAAGAGCCAAATATAAAGAGATCCAGTGGGTCCAGTCTATAGGAGGTCCAAGCCCACCTAAACTTATCAGGGTTCAGGGAGCTACATTATAAAAAGAGGCAGGTCATCCTACGAGCCTTATCGACGCCGCCTTGAAAAAAGTCAACCACCATGTCAGGCTTGGACCTAATCTCAAGGGGAGCTCTGTAACTGTCTCTCATTCATTGAGAAGATAACGTCAGCTCCACCAAATCAATCTTGTAGTCACTGATAAGTCGCTTTAATCTGTTAAGAGGCGACTACAAACTGTAAGCCCCGTCAACACTTGGGCGACATCACACACAATCGAACACATCTGCTATCACTCTCCCTTCCCTTTCATAGCTTGTATCTCCCTACTCTCTCTATATTCCTCGAAATAATAGAATATCAGGCAATTCTAGCCCTTCATAGTGGACATAGGTCACATTGACCGAACTACTCTACATCTTTGCCTCACTTGAGTTACTCTCTCTCTACTTAATTACTGCATTTATTATTAATCACTTAATAGGTTGTGTACAAAATCAATTTGTGCATCATCACCTAATTCGGGTCGACAACTTGGACTCAACAAACAACAATCCTAATTTTTTAAGTCATAACTTTGCTTATAGTAACAAACCTTTTAATGTCGTAACGAGTTGGGTTATAGCTAACTTATACTATTGATTTATCATTTTGGGCAGAATACCGAACTCAATACCGTTTTGGGTCACATTGGCAAGAATGGAGAGCATAAAAACCTATGAAAAATGTTATTTTAAATTAATTTGGGGATCAAATTTAATGCAATGGATTGAATGTGAGCTCTATTTAATATTAGAATTCACAACTAATCACGTGTGAATGAAATGTACTTTCCTTAAATCAACTTCCATCGAGCTTGGACTTGGGAGTGTTAGACGAATTTAGATGTCAATTCGGATTCAACCAATGTTATAATAATAATTTTAAAGCTGTCGATCCAAGTTCAATATCCAAATCCGAAAACTTCGAAAATCTTGTATTGGATGCAAACAATCACTTATTTCTTTTGGATTCAAATATGCTGTCTTAATTTGAACCACCCTAAATTATGTTCTCACTTACTTTTTTTCTGTTTTGATTTTATGTCATCCTCTTCTTGCCCCTTCATGCTGATTTCCGAAGAAAGAGTTGGAAAGATTTTCTAAACAATATATATTATCTACTTTAATGGACTTTTAAAATAGAAATGATTTCATTTGTGGAAACCACTGAAAGGTTATGGATTCATATACAAGTTCACATGAAAAGAATCTCAACTTCTATAAGAAAAAGTTAAGGCATCATCACGTTCCATTTCACATGAAGATAACCTCATCTTTTATGAAAGGAAAATGCAACATAAATCATATAAAATCCAAAAGTTAAAATTCAAATACATATCATTTTTTGGATGAATGTGGAATAGGTGGGTTCCATTAAAAAAATTGATAAGACCCGCTCATCCAAAAGATGATATGTATTTATGTTATAATTTTTTGAATTTTATTTGAATTTTGTAGCATTACTTTTTATCAAATGAGTGATTTGCCATGGAATCATGCTGCATTTTAATATCATAATTTACATCCATCTCGGGAGAATTATGTACAAAAGTGTGACAAATGTGAGGTGTGAGAATAATGACTCATCTATGGCCTATATCAGACTCATATTTCCACCATGGTTGAATTTATTAAGCTACGGACAGTTGGAGTTTCATGTTTTGTATCGTAAGAAATGACGTAAAATAAATTATAAAATAGAACCATGCAAATGTATGTAGGGCATATTTTTGTTAATTGTCTGCTTTCACATCTAGTGCTTCTGTGTGTCGGCTTTCCTACACTTGAGAAAAACAATGCAACATTAAAGGATATCCCATTTTCATTCTTTGAATCCTTCACCTTATTTTCTTCTCTTTTTGGTCCACAATTGAACCCTCTCGAAGGTGCAACAATCTACAAAAGCTTCAAGGCCTCCATTGAAGCTTTCGGATCTCTACAAAGAAATATAGGAATCCCCACCGTCGTAAAAAAAAAAAAAAAAAAAACTCCGGCGTATATCTTTCACTGCGTTTCACCGGCATTTCACACAAAAAGTTCAGAGTATAGAAAGGTATGATAAAAAAATTGGATACATTCATGTTCTTCAAAAAGTTCATATTTTACATAGCTTATCTTTTTGTAATACTGTAAATCAGTTTTAATTTTAAATATATTTGCTTATGTTAGGTTCCAAATCTCAAACAATATTAGAGGCTCGAAAGCTATCAGACAAAAGTGAACAAAAGAATGGCAGAGATTGCTGTATCCTTTCTGCTTGATCAACTAACACCCCTAATAAAGGAAGAGGCAAGACTTTTAGGTGGTGTTAGGGAAGAAGTTGAGCAAATAAAAGATCATTTGGAGCACATGAAGGCCTTCTTGAGAGTTCTCGATGCCAAAGAGAAGACTGATCCACAACTCGAAGTTTTGGTTAAGCAATTGCGAGATGTTGCTTACGATACTGAAGAGGTTCTTGATGAATTCATGCTTCGGTTAGCGCAAGATCATGGGGATGGATTCTATGGTTTTCTTCGTAAGATTGCTTCCTCTATTAAGAACTTGAAAACTCGCCATAGTATTGCTTCTAAACTGCAAAAAATCAAGTCCAGAGCTGATAATATTTCTAAGAGTTTCGAAACATTTAGAAACATAGAGCAAGGCTCCAGCTCTACTGTCATTGGGGACACATGGAGTGATGGTCGAGGTTATGCACTTCTAATAGAAGAAGCTGAGCTTGTGGGCATCGAGGAGCCCAAACAACAACTGATTGGTCAGCTTCTTGATGATGATTCTCAACTCAAAGTGGTGTCGGTGGTGGGAATGGGAGGCTTAGGCAAAACCACGCTGGTGAAGAAAGTCTTCGAGAATGAACGAGTGAAGCCACAATTCCAAAGCCACGCTTGGATCACTGTTTCACAGTCATTCAACATGGTTGAGCTCTTAAAGAACGTGATCAAACAACTCTATAATGAAGCTAAGAAAGCACTACCCCGAAGAATGGAAACCATGAATGACAATGAGCTGAAAGAAGTCATCAAAGAATTCCTCCATGAACAAAGGTATGTGATTGTTTTGGATGATTTATGGAGCATAGGTGCATGGAATGGCATCAAGTATATATTTCCTAACAACAATTGCGGTAGCTGTGTAATCGTCACCACTCGTATACTTGATGTAGCAAAAACATCGTGCTTAGAATCCCATGATTATATCTATGAAATGAAGGTCTTGTCAGATAAAGAGTCATGGGCTTTGTTTTGTAAGAAAACCTTCAAAGACAAAACTTGTCCTTCGCATTTAGAAAAACTTTCACGAGAAATATTGGGAAAGTGTGGGGGATTGCCACTCGCAATTGTGGTACTCAGTGGTGGTTTGGCTTTGAAGGACAAAAGTAGTATAGAGGAGTGGGTGATGGTTTTGCGTAATCTCGGTGGTGAGTTGGAAGACAATGACCAACTTGAGAGGATAAACAAAATATTCTCTCTCAGTTATTTTGATCTGCCTTACTATCTCAAAATTTGTTTTTTATACTTGAGCATTTTTCCTGAGGATCACAAGATTGAAAAGGGGACAGTGACTCGACTGTGGGCTGCGGAAGGATTTGTGCAAGAGAAAGGAACGAAGTTGGCAGAAGAAGTAGCTGAGAGCTATTTCAACGAACTACTAAATAGAAGTTTGATCTAAGTCTTGGAGAAAAATTTTGATGGTAGACCACGAACATGTCGTATCCATGATCTTTTGCATGACTTTATTATCTCAAAGTCGAGAGAGCTGAACATTGCCACTTTGGTCAACAGGAAAGATATGCAGTCGCCACAAAAAGTCCGACGTTTAGCCATACACCACTCCTTCAAAAAGATACGAGAAACGAAGTGTTTCGAACGACTTCGCTCTCTGCTCATGTTTGAAAATGCTGAATGCGTCTACAATTCATCTGTGTCTTCGATCTTAAGCGGTGGTTCTAAGTTACTAAGAGTGTTAGACTTAAGAGGTGCTTCGTTGGAGACATTCCCACACGAAGTTTGTGAATTAGTTCATCTCAGATATCTAAGCATAAGGGGAACACATGTGAGATACATTCCAGCATCTATCGGAAAGCTTCGGATCCTAGAGACCTTGGATCTGAAACATAATTGGATGATAGGGTTACCTATTGAAATAGGAAAGCTTGAAAAACTTCGGTATCTTGTGTTTAATGGTGTTACAGTCCCAGCAGAAATAGGAAATTTGTCATCCTTACAAAAGCTAGCAAGGATTGCGGCAAACCAAGTCAATGGCCAAATTATACTGGGAGTGATAGGGAAGCTTACTCAACTAAAGTCTTTAAAAATTTCCAAGTTGAGAAGAAAACACGGAATGATCCTATGCCCGTCCCTTAAAAAGCTGAGCAACCTTCGCTCATTGTCTCTTAGTTCCCTTCCTATACATGAGATTGATATTCGCTCATTGTCTCTTAGTTCCCCTCCTAAATATGAGTTTGATTTTCTTGATCTAAAGACATTATCTTTAGGAACTCCATTTCTAAGAAAACTCTACTTGGAAGGACATTTAGAGGAGGCACCTGCTTGGATATCTTCTCTTCATAGCCTGGTCAAAGTTAGGTTATCAAGTAGCAGATTACGGGATGACCTATTGACATACCTACAAGATTTGCCTAATCTCCAACATCTTGAATTGCATGACAATGCGTGTAAAGAGGTGGAACTATGTTTCAAGGCCGGAGGGTTTAAGAGCCTCCAATTTTTATGGCTTGAAGCATTAGAAAAACTGAGATGGGTGAAGTTTGAGCAGGGAGCCATGCCTCACCTTGAAAATCTAAGTATTTGTAATTGTGATTTGAGGGGGTATCCAAGTGGAATCGAACATCTGCTCAACCTTCGCTCGATTAAACTACATAAGATGAATAAATTTGGACAACATTGCACACATCCCTGAGAAGTTGATCTTGATTCAGTACAATCGTCGATTTTTTTAGTAAATATTTTATTGGTTTGGTTTTTCTTTTTTTCAGTTGTGTAATTAAGGAAGTAATTAGGGTTTTGGCAAAATTGTATTAATATCCCATATGATTTTTTTTCATTACACTACGGTGTATAATTTTATGCAAATTCTTTTTTCTTCATATACTTGCAACATCTAAACTGCTATGTATTTTTTATTCATGCTTAAACTCCTAGAATTGGAACTCATGTTAATAAGGAATTTTTCACTATCCATAAAAAAAGAAAATTCAATTGCTCTCTTCTCCAATGCTGATCACAAAAAAAAGCAATGTAAATTTTTTGCATGTAAAGGTAATTAGGGCAATGTATGAAAAAAAAACATAGAAAAATGAACTATGGTATGGCTTGGCATTTGCAATTATACAACAATAATGATATTTGTACTTAATTTGAAAATCTAATCAGAAGATCTAGTGTATTTTTACCTATGGTTTGAAAATTTAGTTCATTGAATCAAAGAATCACTCTTGATCCAATGACGATAATGTAGTAGGTCTTGAAATTAGACCACCATAATATTGCTCATTAAATAAACTTTATGAATACATTTATCTCCTATGATTGTCCAGGGTCGGCCCTATAGTGCAATAAAAAAAAAGGAGTTTAAAGCCCCACATATGAATAAAGTCCCAAATTTAGAGGTCAATAGTATAATACAAGCTAAGGATTAAGACCCACTACAATGTAAAAAAAATCTTGAAATAGTAAGCCAACAAAAAAAGAGTTAAAATTGGCCAAAAATTCCGATGATTAAAGGATAAAAAATTGTTAACAAGATAAAAAGTGCTGACATCATCAATCTCTTCCTCTTATTAAAAAAAGTATAATAAGCATCTCTTTTCGATCCAAAAATAAAATCAAATCAAACACATTTTCTACTTCTCACAATTTTTTTTTTTTTGGTTTTTTGACGTTTAAAACACAAAACACCAACTAAACTATTCACCTTCATAAAAAAAAATATTTTGATATAATTTTTTCTCATAACAAGTAAAATATAACAAAAATTTAGGTGAAAGTTATATACATAAACAAGTAAAATATCATAAAAAATTAAAAGTTGGTGAGATAATTCAACAAAAAAATAACAATGCATAATAAAGTTAATCATGTAATACTACAATTTTGATGAAAAACATATAAAACAAATAAGAAGAACATCAAAATATTAATGAATCAATAGATTATATTACTACAAGTATCTATGATCAAAACTCATACAATCAATCAAAAAAATATGTTAGCAAAATTTTGAATAAAAAAATTAATGGCAATTTTGAATCTCAAAAATTGAAATAATAAATTTTGAATTAAAAAATTAATTTATTATTAAAAAATAAAAAATCTTATTGACATTGATCTCTTTAGGCCTCACATGTTGTTGACTTGCCCCTCTGCCGTTGACCATCTAACCTACTTGCACATATATAGGGAAATGAGTTGCTATGCGACATGTGAGAAACAAAGTATGCGTTGTCTTATATTCAACTCAACGCACTCAACAAAATCTTAATACCAATTTCCTTTGTGTTAGGAGTTCAAGGACTTGCCACCCATGCTAGACCCATGATGGTGGTAGGGAAACAAGAAAAAGAAGACTTTAATAAACAAAACTAGAACGTAAACCAGACGGGTTCAACCAGGGAAACCTTGACTATAACATCACAAGACTTGCCCGTAAAATTATTTGTTTAATAAAAAATAATTCTCTTAAATACATCAATATTTCTCTCTTTGTCTCACAATATCTCCCAAACGCTCACTCGTCTCCTTTTTTGGGGTTTCTCTTCTTTTTTTTTTCTATAAAATAAGATTTTCTAGCTGACAAGTAAAGAATTTACGCAAGTCATGTGTTGATCACAGAAGACTATTCCATCACAGTAAATTAGTGAATTTTATTGGAATGATTAAATTGAAACTCAATTAAAACTCTAAGAACTTGATTGTTGTAATTGAAACTTCAAGGACTACATAAAAATTAAATGTACGTTCTAATTTATCCTATTATTAACATGTCAGTTTCTGTGATTATTTACGAACACTTTATTTTCCTTCTTTTTTGACCATACTCTAAACAAATAACACCAAAAAGACCTGATGGCATAAGTGGAAAAATAAACAAGATAGATAAAAAGAAAAGAAAGAAGAGGTTTTAGCAATAACAAACACAGTAAATACCAGCCAACAACAATTCTCTTGCCTGAGAAACTACAAGCAATATTCATAAGACGGCGGAAAAGGCACCAAAGGATGATTTTTCAACACCGTACCAAAAATTATGACTTAACTGGATGAGATTACGACTCAATAGAGTCGCTTGGGATCAAGCCTAAAATGTTAGTATCGATGATCTTAACTTTTTTTTGAATCATAACTTCACCCGATTGAGTCGTAGTGGACTTTTTAGATGTAACTCAACTCTAATTGAGTTTTACCTAACCACTATTGACCCGTAACTTTAGGTACCAAACACGATACCATAGCCGTTCCGTAGAGCCTAACACGCACAGGAGACCACAAAAACCTACACAGGCAAATGTCACAAGAACCCAAAGTGAGCCAAGAAGAGAAGTTCAAAACCTGGGAAACTCTGCATTATGAGCAATCAGCAGTCTTGATAACAGCTTGAAAAACTCTGGTAGGCTCTGTCAAAACTTCGCCCTTAGGGGCTACATCTTCCAAAAACATTGGTGCTTTGCACTCTTCAAACTAGTCATTCCTTGCAGCTTCCCTTCTAAGGGAGCTGATGTTGGTCCCATGGCGAGACTTCTTCAGGACAAGCTTTCTCCTAAAAAGGTGAACACCCTTTTTTTAAATACCCGAGCTAAGTCCACAATTTCAGATTCTCTGATTTGCCGAGTCAACTTGTCAGACTGCCATAGCCATTTGCCTTTGCGGGATAACCTGTTAGCTACATCCAAGGTCAAAGAGGCCACATCTCGGCTGTTCGTTAGTTTTCTGAAAACAGGAGTGGAGTACTGCGGATTTGATGCTAGTCTATTCAGAAGGATAAGTGCCTCTCGAATTAGCAAGGTCCTGCCAAAGAAAATCGATTCACGATTTAAGTGGCCAACATAAATAAAAACAGTAAGCTGGAATCAGCAATTTCTTCCTGAATTTACATAACATCCCAGAAAAAGTTTAAGAATAACATATAAATAGATTGAATCAGTGTGTCATTTAAAAAGTTGCAAAGAAGTCAAATGAATGGGAAGTCATTGCAATTTAACCCAAGAAGAATGCATATACGTTATATACAACATAAAGATAACAAAAATAACTTGGGATGTCACATTTGAAAGCATTCGCTGCATTCCATTTTGTTTTCACACGATTACACCAATGAATCTGCGGAGTCGGCCAAAATAAAGAAACTAATAGAGTCATAGGCAAATTTACAAAAACTGATGAAAAGAACATTACGACGAGAACTTCTAGGAAACCATAATGACACTATTTTTGATGATGAGCAAAAGAAGAAGGAACAGATGCACATTTTAGCAAACAAACACAACAGATCTGCTACATACACTAAACATGCATACCTTTCTTTGAAAATTTCAGGCAGCTGAGTACATTCTGATGCTTCAATGTCCATCTCTGATGCCAATATGTGCAAAATCAATGTAAGAAAGTCACTCCTTTTCGGAAGCCTATGACCCAAGACAATTTCAAAGCCAGCTTTTCCGGACGATGCTAAGAAAGCCAGAACGATGATAGCATTTCTTCGGAGTTTCAACTCCTGAAAGTTTGACAAATTTGAAAATAAGTAGCATTCCAAACTGAGTATTTAATTGAAGTGAAATAGACAGTAACACACGAAAAAACACATAATGACTCAGACCAGTTCCAGGTGCCACAATTGCATACCTCAAGAAGACAGTGTACATGTATCTATACATACATATATTGATCGGATCTGCTTACAAACTTATGAACAAAAGGAAAATGTTTTCAAATATGTGGTTGGCAACTGCCTAAGAACTAAGAGGAGATGGCAATTGGGAGGTTGAGATAGGTAACCTACAATCCAACTCGAGAAACAAGAGTGAAGCCTCTACTTCCCATTCAGCTACATACATGGCAGGGCATGCCGAGTAAAAGCTAATTATAAAAGCACATAATTCCTGACAAAAAACTGAAGATCCCTTTGGAACTCCTGAACTAGGGGAAGAAAGGGAAAATTGTCAAAAATGCTTTACATGATTAATTTGGAGAACGCCCAAGAACTTTATCTTCCTTTTTCATTTGTTCCATCCGAGATCACAGACCTACAAATGCAACAGGGGGGCCAGCGAATTGGAAAATCTAGAACCAATCACTCGGTCAGTGTGATTTCTAGAATTCTAGTTGAGAGCTAATGAAGTGAAACTGCACTAAAATAAAGCCAGCAGATTCAGTGACTCTTTGCTTACATGCTTTTACTTCCTGATATACGCCTAGTTATGTTACCATTAAGGGGGGACTAGGTGGAGTAGACTGGATCCAAATCTAACATTTGGCATTATCTTCAGACTTCAGGTTCGAACCCAGAACCTAGGTTAATATGGGTATGATGACTTGAAATCATTTAGCTCGAGAATGCAACAAGGACAAGTTAAATATCAAGAGTCAAACTTTTGACTGCATTTGAATAAAACAATTTAGATACCATACCTACCTGTGCACCATTTCCACTGCAAGCTACACAATCAGCCAAACCATCAAGTATCACACTGAAACCTTGAAAAGATGAAGCATGTGCTGCATCATTATTTGCATCCCCAGCACTTTCCCCCTCCTCCTTATAAGTGGAACAGAATATCGCCATTAGTCCTGGACCTTGATCAACACAGTAACATGAGTTAGGAAAGTCGATACATATATGGCATATAAGTTAGTAGACAGAAGTGCTATTAACATATTGAAAAAAAAAGAACTACTGGTGAATTACATAGTCTTTGAACAAACTCTGATTACATATTTTTTGGAACAAATTGATACGCCTATTATCAAGCTTCAAAAGAAAAAATTTATAGAGATTTCGTTTTGGCAGTTTGCCATTCAAAAATGAATTCCATCACAATCAATAATTTCAACCAGACTCAAGCCGTGGAAGGTGAATATGAGCCAAGGCCACGTCACTAAAAAGGTCATCTAAAATGGATACAATCCAATCTGATTAGTGTACCTGATCTAGTCGACTCTGTTGGGTTTCCCTCCTTTGTGGGACTCATCAATTTGCTAATTTTTTGGTGGCTTACCCGTGTATGACTCTTATCCAAGACTTGGTTTGAAGTCTTCTAGTTAAAAAGGAATTTGGCAGCCATCAAAGACTATAAGTTTTGTCCTTTTCTTTGGTTCTTCTCTTCTCTGTTGGTTTGGCAAGAAGACATATTTTTGGCAGTCTTTGGTTCAACAAAAATTCAGCCTTCTTCTTCTCCTTTTTGGTGCCAGAAAAATCTGCAAATTTGTTCTTCAAGTGGGTAACATTTCTTCACTTGATATTTGGGTTTCTTGCGGTTTGTTCTTGGAGATTTGGTTCACTTATTTTGTGAGGTATTTTCCTCTTGTGATTTACACCTTGGTGTGTTTGTAAGGCTTATGCCTTTTGACCACTATGTAATCTGATTTGGTGATAGTGGAAGAAACTGACCTACCGGTCGTCGTGGATGTACCTCAAGTTATTTGAGGGAACCACGTAAATTTTGTGTGCTTATTTATTTTCTGTTATTTTATTTATATTGCTTCCATTGATTTACACTTGTGGGAAAGCCTATTTTCCCAACAGACTCCTCCGCATAGGGAAAAGTTCATAAGTTCCACAAATCAGGAACAAAGAGGGAATCCCCTAGAAAGTGAATATATATTTCCTGACAGATCTGAAAAAAGGGCATGTTCCTAGGCACAGATATATAGGAAACTAAATATACAAAATTGCCAAGCTAAAATTGGATTACGTGAGAAAAAAATAAAACGGAGACAAGCTCGCATAGAAATTGGGAATACTAGGGAGTGTGAACATTTCTGAGACGAGTGCAGGCAACAAGATCAAATTTAGTGAAAATGATGAGAGGAAAGAACAGTTGAGCTCACAATTCAGTAGCAGGTACAGAAGATGCACAGCTTGCTTTTGCACGCACAGACCAGCTTCCTTCCTCAACAGCTGCGACACACTTTGAAACACTAGCAACATCCCAAATCTACATCAAATAGGTCTTCATTTAGATTAAAAAAGAGAGTAACACAAAATGTGAGATATTTGCTGTAAGAACCACTCCAAACTTACTTCTCTCTGTCCAAGTAAGCATTAGTTCTCATAAGAATCATATTCATAATAGAAACTGCTTCCAGTCTTACATATTCCTCTTTATTCCTCGTGACAATTTGGCACATAAGTTGAAAGAGAGCAATCCAATCCACACAAGACATCAACAGTGTAGATTCATGATTGCTCACTTCATTCTTGCAAGGAAATTTCAAATTGAATAATCTCGTTCCAAATGAAATAGGGCCTGAATCTGATGTCCCATTCCAACTCTCATAAAACAGGCTTCCAATTTCAGAACATTGAGATCCATACATTTCTGCCGCATTGTTTTTACATAAAAGTCCCTCAACCATGACATTTTCCCTGAGTACAGGACACTGGAAAGATCAAATCAAAGTTCATAAGCAGCAGAAAATTTGGACACAAAGGAAAAATGACAAAGAAAAATGCCCAAAAAAAAAAAGAAAAACAACAATAACAATAACAATAACAAGAGGCAAGTCAATGAACAATGTCGTTGTTAGGGTATTGTATTAATTATACCCTACGTAAGGGAATATTAGTCTTTTGGTTCTTGATCCTAATACATATATAATTTATCTACCAGTTGCGAGTAGGTAACAGAGCTACACTTTGGGAAGCTTTGGAAAAAACTCTTCCTTTCAATTTCATTGATTCAGTATTGCGTCCCCCTATGGCTGTCACATAAGAGCACTTCTTATGTCTCTGATTATTTTGCCTATCACTCCACATGCGAGTGGGGGTCGCACATGCTGGAGAATGTTGGAGATTGTCTCACATCAGTATAATAGTGCCTCCCAAACTAGAATATGAGCTTTGTGAGCCTCTACACTCATGACTAATTGGTTTTTAGTAGAATGCTTTAACAAGTATACTTGATAGGCATGCAATATAAAAATTCACTATATGAGATAAATATGATCGATGAAGAATACTAGATGATTGTGTAATCAATGAAGACTAATTTGATTCAAATCCAAGATGGTCCAAAGGAAAGATAGACGCCCCAGAAAATAATGAGGTCGAGGTGGTAAAACAAAATTTAGAGTGCTCTTTAATTTCAAATGCATGAGAACTTTGTTATGTCATACGAAAAAACAAAAAATTATTAGGATTCCAGGTCTGCAAAATAAAAGAAACTTTATACACAGCCCGCTCAAAATATTTAGAACTAAACAGACATTTATATCTCAGTTCCCATTGAGAAAAGGATAAAAAGAATCTTAATGGCATGGTTCGGGACGACTAATAGCTGTTCCAATATGAACCAAGCTTAACCGCTGGTTTAGGATGAGTAATAGATGTTCTATATGAACCAAGCTTAACTGAAGTGCAGTTATCAAATTTTTATAATCTCATGCCATCAAACTTAGGGTAAGAGAAACTTGTTCAGTAAGCATACGACATGCCAAATAATAAGAAAGTATAAGCAAATATGGAAAATCAAAGAACATACCTTTTATTAGTTTTCCATGGAATACTGAACAAGTAATTCAAAACCATATGCAACACCCGCAGAGACCTGTAGACAATAACAACCTGTAGGCCAAGGAATTAATATTAAAACCATGGAGAAGAACAGATTCAAAAAAGGATTACATGTATGTCAACAATGGTTTTATGAATGGTTCCTATTTTGAAGCAAATAATATTATGCATGCACATATGAACAAGTCATGTAAACATAATGCTCACATTTATACTATTTATCTAAAATGACATAGGGTTGCTAACAAGCCAACCCAAGATGAATTTCTGCATGTCCAGGCCTCGCTCAACCAAATAACAAGTGCCTAGGCTTTTGTTGAGCTGAAGGAGAGCTAAAGGACCTCAAGTTGGGAATGGTTCCAGAAATGCTTGATCGGCCCACAAAATTATGTCAACATTTCAAAACATTTCTCTCCATTCCACCATGAAATTGTTATTTTTTTTATTCAAAATTGAAAGTAAAAGGAATATAGCAAAGAGAGTAAAAGAAAAAAGTAAAAAATGGGGTAATCTCCTACAGACGGGGGACTCAGTTTGGATGTGGCTGCCTCTGGAAATGATTTAACTAAAATATTTCTTATTTGGAATATTTACAAGAGCCCAATGAAAGCTCAAAGAGAGCGCCATTAAATGAGCCTTGAACCAACTGTACAATGTCGGGCTAGTGGCTCAGCTGAGGAGCACGGTGAGAAAGGTTTCCACTTTCAAGCAATATGGGATAACCAAAAGAAGCACCTTTATATACTCTGATAGTTCAGAAAGCTTCTTGACTCAAGATTAATGTGGAACCACCTAATCTTAGGAACAGATAATTGACACCATGAAGTTTCCCTCTTCTGTTTGAGAACAAATTGTCAGTGATACTTGCGAAGATAAGTGGTGACAAAGCACAACATGCCCGTACAAAGGCACTATCACTATTTAAGGAAGGAAGCTGTCCTCTAATGGTATGTGATTGTTTTGGATGTAATATCATGATGATGTTATGCTACACATTTGAATATCTTGCAGGTTTTGTCTATTATACAGTACACACATGCTGCTGTTCTTTCCTTGTTTCCCGTGTTGATAAACTTTTGGCCATGTTTGGGACTTTTCTTTGGCAGCTTGTAGCTTTTCATCTAAAATAAGTTGGCCTGAGGCTGTTTGGTACTCCTGTTTGGGACAGTTATTGTGGGCCAACTTAATTGACAGTGTTTTTTACAACTTATGTCAGATTCTACAAAAAGAGGCTTATAGCACAATTAGCTATAATATGTAAGCAGCTCGGGGGGATGCTTATGTGCTTGTAGCTTAAGCTTGATTTGCTTGGCTTTATTTTGATGAAATTTTAAGAGCCAAGCATGCCCCCACTCTTTTCTGCCTAAAACCCACCATATCTCTACAGTTGTTTTCAGCGATGGTCATTATGTAACATAACAATCACTACGTAACCAGAATGCCCTGTTGACCCTCTTTCAGCCCACTTAGTCAGTCCTAAAAAAACCATAGCCGTAATGGCCGTTACAGCCTTGTGACGGACACGTTATTGGCAGGATTAGTAATTCACCATTTCCTATTGATTGATGTTGTAAATACATTTGCTCCATATGTTGGTGTTTCAATGCCTATTCGAAGGTCCAGCATAATTGGCACTCCCTTGTCACACATGTGGACCATATAAAATGGGTGTGTGGACTATACCTCAATTGCAGGGAATTGCCATGAAGTGAGGGATATTCTAGTGTTCAGGTTTATAATTCGAATAAAGGCCAAACATGTCATATAGTGTTGTGACTTGTGTCATTTCTGGCCATGTTTTGACCTCTGATATAATGATTTCTTTCTGAAGTGTCTAATTTGAAAATTATACCAAGTATATCTGTTAGTTTTTATTAATGTTTTCCACGATAGGCAATATTCAGAAGGATGGTTAATTGTAGTGGTGTTACTTTCTGCAGATAGCCACTGACGTGGCTGCCCGAGGATTGGATATTTCAGATGTTGAAGTTGTAATTAATTATAAATTTCCACTCACGACGGAGGATTATGTTCACAGAATTGGAAGGACTGGACGAGCTGGTAAGAAAGGTGTCGCCCATACATTCTTCACTAAGGAAAACAAGGTACAGTTTGAAATGACTAAAGGGTTTTATTATTATTTCTCAGCTAAAATGTGTATTCAGGCATGGGCGGATTATTTTCTGATATGGAACCATGGATTTCTTGCAGGGACTTGCTGGAGAGCTGGTTAATGTTCTGAGAGAAGCTGGTCAGATAGTACCTGCTGCCCTTTTAAACTTCGGTACTCATGTTAAGAAAAAGGTGAGAATCTTTTTTCTCTTGCAATCTACTCCAATAGCCAGAGAGTACTACAACAGGGGTGGCTTGACATGTATGATCTTAGGACTTTCTCCCCTTGTTGCATGAACATGGCCCTGAAGCCCAAGTTCATGCCAACCTGGCAAATGGACATAGATATTACTGGGACTGGACGCTAGATAAGCATATATTCTTTATTAAGGGCTATCTGCGATAATGTTTTATGCACTATAGTTGTCACTTGTCAGGCTATCATAACAAGACCTTTTTGTTATCTTTGCTGCATCAATTTTGACTCCAGGACTAATTAATAGTGATCAACATCTATAAATCATTCTACCTTTATTCTATACATGTGTACTTTCTATTAAATTGGAGAAATCTCTCTCTCTCTCTCTCTCTCTCTCACACACACACACACACACTGTCCCACATTGTGGACATTTCAGGAGTGCATTGTGTATTTGTTTTTCTTGCCTCTACGATAGTAATGCCTTGTAGTCTTTTGTGATTTCACTAGGTGTGCTTGTGCTTTTCTATATGCCCATGCAATTGCGTTTGCATGTGACATCTTTTTCAGTATGAATTGCAATATTGCATTATGCAGAGATCCTGTAGCATTAGTCAATATTTGGGGAAAAATAAAAGGATAAGAAAAAGAAAACGAAATAGTTGCCTGCTTTGTTGATTATCACCCAGCTTCATGCAGTTTTAACAATGGTGGTTATATCACCTTGTAATCATGACTTGCTGTCCCAATGCAGGAGTCTAAGCTATATGGGGCTCATTTCAGAGAAATTGCTATGGATGCTCCAAAAGCTACCAAAGTAAAATTTGACAGTTCTGATGATGAGGATTGACTCGCGAAGTGACCACACCTCTTTTTTGTTCTTCACAGATTGGTTATTGAAGTCGTCAAATAAAGATTTTTGGTGTCGGTGTCACATGTGGTATCCTATGTTGTAACTTAGGAGAGACCTTAGGAATATCTTATTTTCTTTCTTTCCCCTACCCCCATTCTTTTTCTTTTGTTCCCTAAGCCGCAAGATGTTGAGTGTTCTACTAAATTGTTGAGTTCATAAGCAACATATATAGTATTGAGCAGTAAAAGTTCAATTTTGTGGCAGGTACTGTCTCATGTCTATGGTTTATTTGATATTTCAAACGAAAGTAATTTTCTTTTTTGCTGAATTTTCAGGTACAGTTGTGGATAGATTATTGTTAATGTCATTCAGTACGATGTTAATGCATATTTTAATGAAATCTTGACATACATAGATAGTTCTTTGACTTGGGTTTGAGTAATTTCTTAGGACAAACAGATTTTAGATGCCACACCTTTTTTTCATCCTAGGATTTTAGTTGCCAGTGTGTTTTCTCGAATTATAAAGAAGGGATGGTGCCTGAGATTTGTGAATAGATTTGAATACTACCCTGGGGACATGAGAGAGTGTACATACATGAAGTCTGCAAAATTAGCCTCTTGAAGTCTGCTTGGGATGACAATCAAGATGTTTCTCGTCTCGTATCAAAATTTGTTAAAAGCAATAGGTAATCCCAACACTTTTTTAATCAATCACGACAATTCCCAAAATATAGTAGTTAAATGGGTTTGTAGTATCCCAGTCGAGTTAATTGATTTTTTTCTGTTAGTAGGTTGTGTTTTGGGATTTGTGCCGAAAACTAATCAATAATTTTGGGCTGTGATGGTGGTGTTGACTTTTGTGTTGAAATTTGCCACCTCATCTTGTTTCATCTATCTCTTCCAAATTGTTTTATAATAGGAATTTTGTGTATTAGATATGATCATTTAGTCGATCATAATCGTGGTATCATTTTGTCTTAATGGTACACGAAAGGGTCTAGTTGGTTTGTGTTGATACCCATCGAAAAAATGTGATAAGGCGTGCACGTCAGGAGGAGGAGGGATTGACATGGTACCACAGCTCTTGTTGAAAAAAATTCATGTTTTATTTATAGACGTATTATACTTTTAACTCTTTCAACTATGATTTATATCTCACTCTACACCTATATATCGAGTTTCCCACAATGTATAATACTTTAGTTGATTTCACATAACTTTTAAACCAGCTATATTTTGTATTTAGAACAAAAAATGTGTAGTAAAATACCTAATTTTAGTATTTGTAATTGGAGCAGGGAAATATCAATAACAATACTTTGAGGTACATGTGAGAGAAATTATAGTCGAGAGGATAATGTGAAACTAATAATCACTGCTAGAGCTGTGATGTGACAAAAGTGATAATGGAGGAAGCAATGTAAGAGGGCAGACATAGTTAAAGAGGTCAGTGTATAATTTACCCTATATCTTTCTAATCAAGCAGACTATATTGGTTTATAGCTGAAGCAATTCCTTTGTACATTAATTGGCAAAGGCTATGGAATCATTTTACATTTAGCATGAAAGAGAACATCAACTTCCACAAGCAAAGATCAAGTAAACATATTCTTTTTTTCCTTTTGTTAGAAATGGAAAATCATGTCTACCATGCCACTTTTAGATTCATAATTACAATACAAACATCGAATGCATTAAAATAAATAATGTTCTGTTTCACATGAAGAGGACATCAGCTTCTATAAAAACTAAAATAGGAATCATGCTCCATTTCACATTACAATATCTTTGATGCTTCTTCACACAAGATATTCGTAAGAGTAAAAGAATAGGAACCACAAAAGGTATAGTCCTGCAAATGCAAATCTTCTCACTAGTACAGAGTATAAGAATCACTTTAGATATAGCCCTGCAAACACAAATCTTCTTGCTAACGCAAGGTATTGTTCTTTTTTTTTTTTTGCTTCAAGTAAGTGGAAAGTATTAGTTCAGAAATCAGAGTTAAACCTTTAATTTTGGAATCTGACCAGTAGATAGATCAACTATATATTGATCTATATCTAGTTTGTTTTGGTGAGTGTTAAGAGAGTATTCAAACAATCTTTGAACCCTTGAGAGATCCTAAGGCTTTGTGAAAAAAGTGAAGAAAGAATGGCAGAGATCGCTGTATCCTTTCTGATTGACCAACTAAAACCCTTGCTTCAAAAAGAGGCAAGACTTTTAGGTGGTGTTCGGGAAGAAGTTGTGCCCATCAAAGATGAATTGGATCGCATGAAGGCCTTCTTGAGAGTTGCCGATGCCAAAGAAAAGGATGATAAACAACTCCAAGTTTTGGTTGAGCAACTGCGAGAGGTTGCTTATGACACCGAAGACGTTCTTGATGAATTCATGCTCCGGTTGGCGCATCATCACGGGGGTGGATTCTACGGTTTTCTCCATAAGATTGCTTGCTCTATTAAGAGCTTGAAAGCTCGCCATCAAATTGCTTCTAAACTACGAAAAATCAAAGCCAGATTTGACAATATTTCTAAGAGTCTTGAACCATTTAGAAACATTGAGCAAGGGTCGAGCTCTGCTGTCATTGGCGACACATGGAGTGATGGTCGAGGTGATGCACTTCTAATAGAAGAAGGTCAGCTTGTGGGCATCGAGGAGCCCAAAAAACAACTGATTGGTTGGCTTCTTGATAATGATTCTCCACTCAAAGTGGTTTCGGTGGTGGGAATGGGAGGATTAGGCAAAACCACACTGGTGAAGAAAGTCTTCGAGAATGAACAAGTAAAGGCACAATTCCAAAGCCACGCTTGGATCACTGTTTCACAGTCATTCAACATGGTGGAGCTCCTAAAGAGCATGATCAAACAACTCTATGGTGGAGCATTGCCCCAAAGAATGGAGACTACGAATGACAATGAGCTGAAAGAAGTCATCAAAGAATTCCTCCGGGAACAAAGGTACGTGGTTGTTTTAGATGATGTATGGAGCATAGGTGCATGGGATGGCATCAAGCATATATTTCCTAACAACAATTGTGGTAGTTGTGTAATCGTTACCACTCGTATACTTGATGTAGCAAAAGCATCGTGCTTAGAATCCCTTGATTATATCTATGAAATGAAGGTCTTGTCTGATGAACAGTCATGGACTTTGTTTTATAAGAAGACCTTTAAAGACAAAACCTGCCCTTCGCATTTAGAAAATATCTCACGAGAAATATTAAGAAAATGCGGGGGATTGCCACTCGCAATTGTGGTACTAGGCGGTGTTTTGGCTTTGAAGGACACAAGCAGAATTGATGAGTGGATGATGGTTCAGCGGAATCTCGGCGGTGAACTAGAAGACAATGACAAACTTGAGAGGATAAAAAAAATATTCTCTCTCAGTTATTTTGATTTGCCTTACTATCTCAAAATTTGTTTCTTATACTTGTGCATTTTTCCTGAGGATCACGAGATTGAAAAGGGGCAAGTGATTCGACTATGGGCTGCGGAAGGATTTGCGCAAGAGAAAGAAAGAAAGTTGGCGGAAGAAGTAGCAGAGGGCTATTTCAATGAACTTCTAAATAGAAGTTTAATCCAAGTCATGGAGAAACAATATGTTGGTGGACCAAAGAGATGTCGTATCCATGATCTTTTGCGTGACTTTATTATCTCAAAGTCGAGAGAGCTGAACATTGTAACTCTGGCCAGCGGAAAAGCAATATTGTGTCCACAAAAAGTTAGACGGCTAGCACTGCACAACTCCTCAAGAAATGTAGAAGAAAACAAGTGTTTTGAACGGCTTCGCTCTCTGCTCGTAGTTGGGGAAGTAGAAGGGCTGGACAATTCATCTGTATCTTCGATCTTAAGAGGTGCTTCTAAGTTACTAACAGTGTTGGACTTAAGAGGTGTTTCTTTGGAGACATTCCCACCTGAAGTTTCTGAATTAGTTCTTCTCAGATATCTAAGCTTGAGGAATACAAATGTGAAATTCATTCCAGGATCAATTGGAAAGCTTCGAAATCTAGAAACCTTGGATTTGAAATATGCACTAGTAACAGAGTTGCCTATCGAAATAGGAAAGCTTCGGAAACTTCGATATCTTGTGGCTGATTATTTGGTTGTAGTCCCGGTGGAAATAGGGAATTTGTCATTCCTGCAAAAGCTCAGATCGATCTCGGCAGGCGAAGTCAATGGCAACATTATAATGAGAGAGGTGGGGAAACTTACCCAACTAAAATCTTTGAACATTTTAGGGTTGAAAACAGAAGACGGAAAGATCCTATGCTCGTCTCTTGAAAAACTGGGCAACCTCCGTACATTGCTTGTTTGTGCACAAGAACGAGGAAAATGGAATGAGTTTGAGTTGCTTGATCTAAAGACATTATCTTCGGGTCCTCCACTTCTACAAAAACTTCACTTGAGAGGACATCTAGAGGAGACACCACATTGGATAGCTTCTCTTCATAGTCTGGTCTCGGTAAATCTAAGGGGGAGCAAATTAAGGGATGACCACCTACTGCAATGGCTACAAGATTTGCCAAATCTTCAAGTAATGGTTTTTCAATTGGATGCGTATGTTGGGGAGGAATTATGTTTCAAGGCTGGAGGATTTAAGAGTCTCAAATATTTAAGTCTTTTCGTATTAAAAGAACTGAGATGGGTGAGATTTGAGCAGGGCGCCATGCTTCATCTTGAAGAGCTAAAAATTGGGCGCTGTGATTTGATGGGGTATCCATTTGGAATCGAACATCTAACCAACCTTCGATCAATTGAGCTAGATGAAGTGGATAAATTAAAGCCTCAGAACTTGTCAGATAGAGATAGAGATGATGCATGGGATGACAACAAACTTGCACACATCCCTCATAGGGATATCTGGAGTTGCCACAGGACATAACCTTTGCATGGACGTCTTCGAATAAAAAGGAGAAGTTGAAATCACTGTCTCGTGGTGGAGGTGGTGGTCGTGGTCTAGGCATTATGTTATAATTTTGGATTGATATCATCTAGTGATGTAATATTTGAAATAATATCAAGATCTCTTATTACCATGTGCAATCTTTGATTAAGCCTCTACTTCAAATTTGTTTTTCTCTTTGGCTAAAGATCTTAAGCTGTCCAAATTGATAGTGTCTCAACCAAATTTGCTTGATTAAATGGATGATTAATTCAAATCTTGCACAATGCTTCTCCCTCAATAAGATGGTATTTGTGATCAATGTGTTCTTCTCCATATAATCCATGAACACCACCAATTTCTCAAGCTCACCATAGAACCAATGCCTCCAATTGTTACGCTACTTATTTATTTATTTGGATAGGTAAGTTATGTATGAACAATATTAATCATTTTTTTTGGGATGGGAGGGGAGGGGAGGGGAGGGGTGGGAGGACTTGAACCTTTGACCTCAAGAAGATAAAATATTCATAAGGTAAGGAGTACTATTGGACCAAAGGCCCGTTGGTGTACGAACAATATTAATCAACCAAGCACGTAGAGGAATAATAGGGGCAGACCTTCTAACTCCAACCGAGCCCATAGGACGAGTAAATTACCCCATTGAAAGCTTACAATCCATTGCTCATGTGTATTGCTAAGTTCTCTCTATTTGGCAGCTTTTGTTCTGACAAAAACCCAAAAATCCTTCTAATTCATGTCGTCCTAAGTTCCTCACCGTAGAAAGAAAGGATTCTATTTTTCAAATAGGGGTGTTAATTGACCAAGTTTTGTGAGTTTGAGTCCGAGTTTATCGAGTTCGTTTGTCTAAACAATTTTAAAAAATTCTTTAAGTTTAGTTTGTTTAGAAAATGACCTGAGCTCAAGTTCTCATGACTGGACCAAACCCGAGGAACTCGATTATTTTACACGTAAACAAGCCGAGTTTTTTATACTCATTTTTTTAAACCAACCTAAAAAATTGTTTAAGTTTAACTTATTTAAAAGCTTAACCAAGTCCGAGTAATTCGTCAAGATTAACATCCCCTGATTTTCAAGTGCGAGATTTGCTTTGTAGGATTGCATAGGATTTGGAGGGTGAGATTTGGCAAAATAGTTCAAGAAGCCTTAAAAACTTTGAATGGTTGGAGATGTTGGGGCCAGGATTTAGAGAATTTTTTGTTTAAGGCACGAATGCTACAGACTATAGTTGATTGAAGCCCACATATGTAGGTTTAGGCTTGAGCAAACTTGAAGCAGGTTTGGGTTTGAAGGTTGGGTAGCTTGGATGAGTTGGTATAAAGACATTAGTGCCCCAAACATAAATATGGATTGTATTGGACAATGATCAAGTTTATCAATTTCATACTAGCAAATGATGATAATGGTTGTGGTTGATTTAACATCAATCTGTGCTTATTTACCTGAGAATTTTTTTTTTTTTGGGTCCCACAAGAACTTAAATAAACTTAGATAACTCGAATACCTTCAAATATTTTAAAGAAATTATTTGGGGTGGGGGATGAACACGCTTTAGTTTAGAAGTTTTTGTCTGTTAAGTCGTAATTATCCTTTCTACGTGGTTGTATATTTTTTCATAAAATTTTGGTTATATGTAAGAGTCTGTTTTTTTTTTTTGGCATAAACAATGAAGGAAAAAGAATAATGCGACTGCCTCATAAACAGTAACGGTGAGAAAATAATGCAAGAGAGCCACAAATTGTTGGGCATATCTTTGATCATTGCTCGACGTTCACATCTAAGGATGCTTCGTATGTGTCAAATTTCTTATCAAATTTATTTTTTAAGTCAATGTCATGTTAGTGGGAAAAGAAATAAGACAAATCAATTCATCAATCGCAAGAAATAAAGTGAAAAAAACAACCACTTTTGGTTTGGTGGGGGAAGAGGGCCACAAAATATATCTAATTATATTATTTATATCATTCAATATTTAACTTTTCACATTGGCCATTAGTTCAATTTGTTTAGAACAATTTGGGACTAAATTTAGAGACCTTTGTGAGGATCTAATGGATTGCGATCACTGGGTTAGCATTGAATGAAGTAAACTATAAATCTAATGGCCAAAGTTTATTAAATCCTAAAATTTGGTAGAAGAAGCATTATAATTTTTTTTTATCTTATTATTGTTGAAATTTGGTAAAGATAATTAAAAAGCATGCCTTTTATTGAATTTCTTTTTCTACGCTCTGTCCCATTAGAAGACTAGTTCAAATGAAACTAAGGAGGACCACACGTTTAAGTTGGAAAAACAAAACAGGAGGAAAGCAACCACAGTGGGGGTGGTGGGGAATGGGGGCCACACGCTTTAGTTTAGAAGTTATTGAAAAATTGTTCGAATCTTAATTTGCATTTTTAAAGTGTAAAAATCTCAAATTTGAAAGGATCCAAATGATATAGGAATAAACTTGAGGGGGTTTAGGTATAACTTACCCAATTAGCTTTAGAAAATAAATTGACGGTTGTTAACTTCAGGTGCGCATTAATACAAATTTATATCTTCGAAGCTAAAAATTGAGATTTTTTATCTTTGATGGTATAAATAAAAATACGAGAGATTTTTTAGGATGCAATTTGCGATTCCCCCTTAATATTTTTACATGTAAAGATAATTAGGTGCAATGCATAAAAAAGGGATACAAAAATGAACTATGGTATGGCTTGACATTTCGTAATTGTACAACAATAATTTTATTTGTACAAAATTCAAAAAATCTAATTTGACGATTTAATTCAAAAATATAGGTCTCAAAATTAGATCGCGGTAACATTTCTTAGTAAACAAACCTTCTGAATCCGCTTATGTAGTCTTTTGAAGGTGTTCTTAACCATTTAACTTACTTTCACGCAAAGATGGAAACTGAGTTGTTAAGCGACTTGTGAGAAACAAACTATGTCATGGACCTGGTATGAGCCACCCGTAAGACTAACCAGTAGTCATTGTCTTATGTTTAATTCAACTCAACAAAGTTTTAATACCAATTTTCTTTCTATTGGGAGATCAAGGGCATGCCACCCAAACGAAAAAAAAGAAGAGTTAATAAACAAAAAAAATAGCATGTAAACCAGATGGGTTCAACCAAGGAAACCTTGACCATAATGTAGCATGCAAGTTCCTATTATTGGATTAATTGCACAGTATAATACCATGTATGCATATATATCCATATGAGAATGGCAGCAGAAATTACTATTACATGCATCAAACAATGCATAACATTGGAAGCAAAGGCTTTACCATTTGCATGCATGGTATCACAAATTCCAACTAGGGATAATTATCTTACCGAGTATAGCTCAAGTCCAAGGTATGCAACTCCTTACCCATGCAATAGAACAATATTTTTAAATTTTCTCTCAAATATTGATTTGACCATTGGAGGGGTCACGCTAAAATATACTCTAGCGCTCTTCTAACTCTTTTTTTCTGAGTGACAAGAATTTGTTCGAACACTCACGTGTGGGTAGATCATTTGCAGAAAGTTCCATCGCTGTTCATTAATCTTTCTCAACAGCCACTCATTGAGGGACTTTCGACTTTCCTGACAAACTAGAATTCATTAAGGGAGAGATTTGTCATCTTATTCACTGTACTGAAATTATCCCGTAAAATAAACATATATTTAAGATGTATATACACACACATATGTATAGGGAGGTAACCGAAATGAGATTAAGACTCAATCACATGAGACTATGGCTAAGTGGAATCACTTGACATCAATCTTAAAATGTGTCATGATACATTTTAATTTTTTGAGTCATATCTTTGTTTGTAATTGCTTTCATCAATTGCAAGAAATAGTGTCATGGGACCACACCTATTCATCAATTGGCGATGTTAGCACCAATTAAAATATGGTAGAGGAAGGATTCTTCCGTCTTTCCTATGGCAATTCCATGGAAGATACAAGGATGTGATCCTTACAGTGCTGCCATATGATAAATCATACACATTATAATTCGAGTTCAATTAGTGTTGTTAGCACTAATTAAAATTTGATTCGAGTAAACTAAAATTTGTATTTTTTTACGTGTCAATTAAAATTCGTTTTTTATGTAGGGTCTAAATATTTATTTTACCCTAAAATTTATGTGTGAACTGAAAGACGCATATCACAGCAATTGTCTGTAAGCTTTCATCAAAACCAAGAACGCTACCAAGCCTGAAAGCTTTTGTTTATTTATTTATTGTCTTTTTCTTTTTTCAAATTGCAGAAAAGAAAGTAATGGTAATAATATTTAAGTAGAAAGCAGCCACTGTCGGTGTGGGGTGGGGCATATTTTTGTTCAATGCTCAGCTTTCACATCTGGAGAGAGGGAGAGAAGGAAGCATCAGTAAAGGAAATTCCACTTTCATCGATCCTTTCAAGCTTGAAGATTATTTTCCCGTCTTTTTGGTCCACAAGTGAACTGTCTGGAAAGTACAAAAATATATTTGCTTTGGTTAGTTTCCAATGTAGTTAGCCTGATCCTTCAACCATTTCATCACCGTTTTACACACCCAAAAGGCTTATATGAAGATCAAAAGGGAATAAAAAGTATGGCAGACATTGCTGTAGCTTTTCTGCTCGATCACCTAAAACCCATCCTTCTTGAAGAGGCAAGACTTTTAGGTAGTGTTAGGAAAGAATTTGTGCACACCAAAGATGAATTGGAGCAAAAGAAGGCCTTTTTGAGAGTTGTCGGTGTAAAAAAAGAGACTGATCCATAACTCAAAGTTTGGGTGGATCAAGTTCAAGATGTTGCTTATGATACCGAAGATGTTCTTGATGAATTCATGCTCCTATTGGGGCATGCTCATGGGGATGGATTCCATGGTTTTCTTCGTAAGATTGCTTCAATAAATGATAGAGAGAAGGACACTGACAGAGACACATTGGACACCATAAATTATGAGACTATTTCAACTTCTCCATGGAGACTTTTGCAACCAATGTTTCAGGCATTTCTCCACCATAT